ATTCAAAATTATTTATAATTAAAGTTCTTAAATAAGCAATATATTTGCTAAAAATTTACAAACTAAAATCAAAAATTAAAAGTGTTAAGTAAGTATAAATGATTTTTGATTTAAATAAATAGTAAAAGAAAAAAAACAAATTAGTATACTTCACTTTACATTAAATATTTACATGAAATCATAAATAAAATTATTTTCACAAATAGAACAACTACTTATTATAATAATAATATTATTATAATAATTAGTTAATAATATATAATATTTAACATAATTACTATATAAATATGTAAGTATATAGTAATTATGTTAAATAATAAATACTTGTTTCCCTTATATTTATTACATTAAATGATAAAATATACTGATATATAACGAAGTATATATATAATATATTATGTGTATATATATAGAGAAATAATAACAGCAACATAAACAACAATTAATAGTAATAATGATTGTATTTGTATAATAATAAGAATAACAATATAATGCTGATAATAACGCGATACATTATAATTAAAAACCATGAAAATAATTTCTTGTTGTTTTTTATTTTTGTATACTCACATAACTAATATATACATATACATATATATATACATAGATACTATTATGTAGCTGTACATAAAATTGGAAAATCTTTATTTAATTTTTCATTTTCTCTTTTTATTTTTCTTGTTTTTTTTTTTTCAATTGAATTTGAAAAAGAAAATTCACATGCTTTTTTTTCATGTCTTATATTAATTTTCTTATATTGTATTTGTTTCATAAATGTATATACATATATATGTATGTATATACATATTTAATGTTGCATTAAATGAAACAAGCAAAGAAAAATTAAAATACATAAAATTTATGTATATAAAAATACAAACATAAAAATTAAGTATAGAGTAAAATAATACGAGTACAAACAAGAATGATCTATTCTCTAAAAACAAATACATTCATAAAATTAAATAATCTTCATTTTTATATTGTTATACATATTATAATTAAATAGGCTTTACATGTGCATACAATATTTTTATATAATTACAACTTAAGTTTTGTATAACTCATTCTTATATTATAATTTATAAGTTATACTGAATTTTAAAAACATACAGTGGAAACTCTATTAAACTGCACAAGCAAATTTAGAGCTCTGTATGTTTCTTTGGGAGCATATATAATGCCACAAAATTTAATATAATCAATTCACAAAATAAAATAAATAAAATAGTAAACTATATACTATAAGTAATTTAAATTTTTCAAACGACTTGAAAGTGAATTCTAATTTTCCGCTGATCTCACATTATTAGTCACATTTTTTAGTCACATTAATATCTGAATAATTATTTCTCTAAATAGGTTTTCTAATATTTTAAAATATCAAATAAGCTTACCATTTTCTAATACATTTCACTCACTTTAATATTACATTATAACAATAAATAATAAATCACTTTTTTTTCGCCCGGTTAGCAAAGACAACAAAACTCTAAGATTCATTGTTAACATTTTAGAACTCATAACTATATAAGCCAATTCATAGGGAGTTATTGAGAATAGTTAAGCTTATTTATTACGGTTTACAATTCTTATATGACAAAAAAAAACAACCTGACATCTCCGGTGTACAGCAGTTTTATTTCCGGTGTAACAGTCTGTAATACTCTCTGTATAACAGTTATATTATCTGCATAGCGTTTATACCTCCCGTATAACAGTTATACTCCCTGTATAACAGTTTTACCTCTTGTATAACAGTTTTTCATACAAAACCACTACGTTATAAGCCTTATTCTTGAAAAATCTTCTTCAAAAAATTAAGCTGAATTACATGGGTAAAATTTCAAATAACAAAATTTTTTCTACTATTTACATCACTTACACATTTATAACAGATTTCAAACATTTATAATATTTTAGTTTTATTTATAAAATCAACTAAAATATATACCTACGTTAATGAATATTTATATGTATATTTAAAGTCAAAATTCTCTTATTGAAGAAAAATTGAAAATTAATTTTCTCATATCTCATATAACATACATACATATACACAATTTATGTATTATATACAAATAATAAGTATGAAATATAATTTTCCACCAGACTATCTATGTTTTATATTCAGAAAAAAAAAAAAACAAACTCTCGTACATATTTTTATTTTATGTGTGTATATAAAAATAAAAAATAACTATATTTATAAATATGTGTACATACATACAAACTTACTTAAAGATAAATAAAATGTTTTCTGCTTCTTTTCTATTTCATTTTATATAATGTATTTGTATGATTTGAAAAAAAAAATACAAATTGTCTGTGTTTTCTTGTGTTTAAAAGACTCCCTAATCATCAGATGAGTTTATACCTTTGGGAAAGGAAAAACTTCACTCAAATTATTTATTTATTTAATTTTTTTTTGTTGTCATCATATATTAGACTTTGTGCATTTTATATATATATATATATGTATATATAATTAAATATTTCGTAATTTTAATAAGAAAAATATACAAATACTCGTATGTAGATAAATTTGTAGCTCGTGCGTGTGTATATCATTTTTATATATACATTCAAAATAAAATGTAAGATCAAGAGGAAAAAAACATAAAATATAAAATTTTTATTTAATTTAATATTCAGAGTTTTCCTTCAAATTTTCATTTTAAAAATAAGAAAAGAAAAAATAAAAAATATACTTAGTCATTAAAAAGAAAATTTTTTTTTTCTTAATTGTTTTGTGCTCTTAGATTTCATTTATTTTATTTTGTATCCAAAAACCTACATACACACGTTGGGTATAGATATATAAGTGTTTGTATTCTAAAAATAGATATTTTTTTTATAAATCTAAATAAAACAAAATTCACACAAAACCAAAGAAAATTAAGAAAAAAAAAAAAAAGAAAATTATGTCGAGTGCGTATACGCCAACAGAAAGAAGAAGCGAACGCAAACGTCAAAAATATAATAGAGAAAAAAAAGTTCAAAAGTTTTTACAAAAAAAGTAAAACTCAAAAAAAAAAAAGGAAAAATTGAAAAATTGTGAACAGTCGCGATTTTTCACAGTGACGTATTTTTTTTTTTTGTATTTAATTTCTCTACTTTTATTTTGAATTTATGTGTATTTTAAGGAAAAGAATAGAAAAAATAATTCTTCTCTATTTTTCTTATTTATTTAAAAATTTTATAAGACAAAATATTTTGAGTCTTTTCTGTTTTAAAATTAAAAATTTAAGCAATTTTCATATTTAAAATTTTTGCAATCAATTCAACATTTTTTATAATTACTTTTATTTAAATTTTTACATATTTTTTTTATTGAAATGTACACTGAAAAAAACAAAAACAAAATTTAAAAAAAATATAGAGCGAAAATTAAAATTGGTAAAATAATTATAAAAATAGGAGGAAAAAAATTCTCCAAAAAAAATTTTGACAATTGTAACAGTTACCATTTCATAAATTGAAAAAAATATAAAAAAAAAATGTTTTTCAAAAAATATAAAAAATTATCACAAATTTCTACTAAAAGAAAAAAATATTCGTTTTGAATATGTGTGTGTGTAAATTAAAACAAATAAAAATTAAATATATTAAAAATGTTAAATAAAAATTACAAAAAAATAAAATAAATCTGAAAAATGTGTAAAATCTGAAATAATCTGAAAATAATTAAAAAATTTTAATATTTTCAATTGTTATTAATTAATATAATAATTATCTTTTTATAACCTTAAAAAAATTTAATTTGAATTTATAATAAATTTAAAATGAAGATCATTTTGAGCCATTTTAAAAATATAATTAAATTAAATTGTCCCGAAACTGTTAATCTAATTAATACTATAAATTATACGAAACTACTAAATCCAAATATAATATTTTTAATAAAATTACTACAACAACAACATCAATTATCACATTTACTAAATAAACACCATACAATATAAAAAAAAAAACAAAAACATATTACCACTGAAATTCAAAATAATTCAAAAAATAAATTAAACTCTTTATATTAAATAAATAAATAACATCAATTTAATAATAATTAAATAAAAATAATTTCTACTCAAAATTAATAAAAACAAAATAAGAAACAAATAGGGGGAAACACAAAATTAAATATTAAAGATAATTTTCATCCGTACCTTTATTTTTAAAAAATAAAGGCGGATCTGAAAAGAACGCCATGTATGCGCGAATATTGCGCAAATGGAGTTTAACCAAGTTTCTAATGTACCTGTGGCTTATACCAATAATAATGTTATTGATAACATGTTGTCAAAATGTAACAGCATTACATATAAAAAATCCATATTTAAATCAAAATCTAAATTATCATCAAAATCAATTAAATGGATTAAATTATCATCATTATTATCCTCAAAATCATCATCAAGAACAACAACAACAACAGCAGCAACACCATCAAAAACAATTGACGACAACATCAACAAATTTAACGACAACATTATTATCAATACCATCAACAACATCAAAAACATCAAAAACAACAAAATTAACAATAGCAAAAAATGCAACAACTTTAGCACTAAATTATTCACCAATATTATTAGGAAATATAGAAAAAATAAACAATTCTACATCTACCAATATTGCATTAATAAGAAATTCATCTGCAATAAAAAAAATCAATTATTTATTGCCAGATGACATTACTGAAAATGTTGATCAAATAAAAGATCATCAAAAAAATATTAATGATAATTACAATAATAATAGTTATAATCATAATAAAAATAATAATGATCACATTAAAAATAATACTAAAACAATTTTACATTATGTTCCAAATGTTCCAATTTTAAATAGTCAAATTAATTTAGATGATGTTAATCAAAACATAAATATTGGTAATAATAATATTAATAAAAATCATAATAATATAGATAATGATAATATAAATTATAATAATAATAATAATAAAAATAAAAATAATTTAATTAGTAGTGCAAATCTAGGTTTAATTAATAAATTATACCGTCATAATAATCTAAGTATTAATAACAATAATTACAATAGTAATATAAATAATTATAATAATGTTAGTAATAAACAAGTAATTAGATCACAAAATTTATTTAATAATACATTAAATAAGAATATTTCAATATTAAATATTAATAATAATAATAAATATAATGATAATAATAATGTTACAATAAATAAAACAAGCCTATACCAAAATATAATAAAACAACCAAATAACTATAATAATAATAATAATGATGTTCATAATAGAAAAAATAAAGCATTAAAACAAGATGTTGAAACCAGGCGTATTAGAAATTCTTTATTAATTAAAAATTTAAATAATCATAATAATAATAACAATAATTATGATAAATATAGCAACAATAGTATTAAGCCAAAAGAAATCAATAATGAAAATAGTAATAACAATAATAATGATCACATTTCAAAACCTAAAATTGACGAATTAGCATTACTAGAACATGAAATATTTTATTATAAAAATAATAAAGATTATATAAATGATCAAATTGAGAAAAAAAAGCGCATCGAAACACATAAATTATTATTAAATAATGATAATAATGATGATAACAATGATAATAAAAAAATATCGAATTATCGAAATCGTCGTGATTCACGTTCATCTTTTCCATTACATTTAACACAAATGCCATTATCATCATCACAATCATCCTCTATAACACATTCAATTAATTTACATCAAGAATATAAAACTCAACAACAATTACCATTTCAAACAACCGGAAATAAATTACAGACATCATCTTCTTCAATTTCAATGTTAGCTCTACCAACTACATCATATACAAATTCATATACAAAACAACAAACACAATTACAGCCATCTTCATCATCTTCTTTAACATCTTCATCACAATTATCACATTTAAATCCAATTTCATCAGTTTATTATGGTCAAAATTTACATTATCAAAATTATGATGGCCGACAATTTGATAATCAACAATATTATCAGCAACGGCAACAATATAATAATAACAATAATAACAACAATAATAACAATAATAATAATTACAATTCTGATTCATTTTATAATAATAACAATAACAATAATAATAATGACAATAGCAATTATAATAATCAACAACAGCAGGATACTTTTAATTATAATGATCCAAATGAATATTATTTTCAACAACATCAACAATATTTTAGAAATACTTATAATTTTAATAATCATGATCATCATAATCATCAACGTAAACGTCAAAAACGATATTGTTCAGCAAGAGATCCTGCACAATTAGCATTTGAAGCACCAACTGTATTTGAAGGAAAAATAATTTCAATGAGTTCTGATCGTCGTCAAAATTTTTCGGTAACATTTGAAGTAAAAGAAATTTTTAAAAAACAAATTGGAAAATTAATATTACCAGATTTAGTAAGATTAGATTTTACTTATCGTAATAATAGTGGCGAATGCGATATTTATCGTGAATATTTACGTCCGCGTGGTTTAATTTCAAAAGAGAAAGACAAAGAATTAGAATTAGGACGTATTTATTTATTATTTGTACAACAAATTGATATACGTAATTTTACAATATTAGGACAACCAATATTAAAAACGAAACGTAAAATTCAAGCAGTTAGAAAAGGTGTTAGCCAAAATTATGGTAAGTCTAAAAAAATTCTTATTATTTTATTATAATGAATTTTAAAATTTTTTTCAATATTTAAACATTAAAATTTTATTATTACTACTATTTTAATTATTATAATATTAAATGAATTGCATAAGATTGAGAACCTTACGTTGAATATCTGTCCGAATATATGAACCGCATATATGGAAACATATATTGAAACTGCCTAAGAAATTTGGACAGGTACTCATTAAATATAACCTTCGTTATACTCTTTGTCACACACATCTAATAATATCATCCTTTTGCCGAATATAATTTTATTTTCGCATTAAAACTATTTGTTAATTAACAATAATAAGTACTTGCTTAAATTTTAAAAATTCTGCTCTTCCTCCTCATAAATATTGGAAATAAAGTAATGTAAAATAAATTTGACAAATTATTCTCTCCCTCTACAAAATTTTTTATATAAAATAAAATTTATGTGTGTATTCTTTTGCATTACTTTCTAGATTACCTAGTGACTTACTTTGATATACATAGAAATAATAATTTTTATTTCAAATCTTCAATTGAATTTTAAAATACTTTCTTAAATTATTTTATAAAATTGACCCTGAAATTTTATTATACATTTTTTTTTTGGTTTGAAAAAAGGGGAAATATTTCGTATATTCTCCCTAGGGAAATTTTGTATATACATAAATTAATTTAATCATTATATTTGTCAATATATAAAAATTCTATTTTTGAAATTCATTCAATTACAACATTAATAACTTTCTAAGTATTTTTATATGTGCCCATAGAAATTTTTTCAATTCATTTAAAAACTTAAAATACAAAAAAAAAAAAAATATTTCAATTAAAATGTAATTTTTACTTTTCTCTATATAAGTATAGTATGTAATTTGTTAATAACAAATAAGTATGTCTAGGTATAAGCGTATGAAATTTTTGAAAATTAAAAAGGAAGGAGCTCACCTGACAAAAAAAGGAAACAATGCCCGTACAATATTTTGTATTATCGCTATTGTTATTCTTATTCTTGTTCTTTCTTCCCATATTTTATTTTTTCATATGGAATTTTATAACTTACCCGATACACACAAGAACGGACATAAAAAATACATACATATATCCTAATTTATATATACAAAAAACCAGAGAGTTGTGATTAATTTGAATGAGAGCCTAAATCATCAAAATGTAAAAACACACACACTCAACTGCAAAACAAAAATATTCCAAAAGGAACAAAGAAGTAAAAAAAAAAAGGAAAATAATTTTTTTTTTTCAAAAAAAGAACAACAAAAAAAACATAACATAAAAAGAAAGAATGAAACGTGCTACCACTCTTCTCTAGAAATTAGACACATCTGTTGTCCGTACATATTAAGCGCTCGAACATAGTTTAAGACACGATCATTTTTATTTGTTAATAAACAATGAAAATAAAATAAATATACTTTATATATATATATGTAAGGATATATTTTAAGAAAATCATATAATAAAAATAATAAAATTGTAAAATAATTTTTAGTATGGGGAAATACGTAAACCGTATGCGGATTCATGCGTTTTATATTTTACTTACATACTTACCACATACATACATACATACATAAATGTATATATAGAGAGTGATCACCGACATTCAATTATAATGTAGCATTAATAACTTTGGCAAATTATTATATTTTTATTACTTTTATATATATAAACAAACACACACATATGTTAACATTACTTTTAAATTTCATCCTTTTCGTCCTTTTTCAATTCCTGTATACACGAACATGTTTTATAAATGAGCTTGTTATACCTTTTACTTATTACTTTTATTGTAATTCAAAAGTTAAAAATGAAAAAGTTAGATTTGTGAAGAATAAAATATCCTTGATATGAGATTCATTTTTTTTTTTTGGTTTTTGATGGCATATCGACTAATGAATGTAGGTATAAACAATATGGAAAAGAGTAAGAAAAAAAAAAGGCTACTACAATATTTTAAAAGGACATTTTGTGCCATAATCGGGATAAACACATTAATTTTTATTAAAGGAGATTACGTTTTTGGTTTTTTCTTATTTTTGTTATTAATTTTGTTGCATTATTGAATTTTTTCTTTAATTGAAAATTTTTCATTCATTCCTTTTAATATGGTCATACACTTTTTTTTAATTTATAGATGATTTTTTTTAATGAATGTTAAGGCTTGGTATTTGCGATAGCGATTTGCGAAGTATAAAATTTTTTATTTTAAATCGACTTATAGGCATCAAATTAGAAATTTAAATGAAATTTAAATGTATTAAATTAAAGTGTTAAACAAATTGATCAAGGAGCTTATAATATGATGCTTTATATGTTATGTTATAAGCGATTTTAACTGGAATACCGGGAATTATTGATATAAATAGTCGAATTGAACATTTTAAGTACTTACCAAAGAAAATAATCTAGAAATGCATAATCAAATAATCTTATGCATGTTATGCCTAAAACGTGTAAACTCTTAAAAATAATAATTTGATTCTCTTAATAATTTTTCTATCAACTTTTATTACTATTAAATTAATAAATAACCTTTTGAATTCCACACAACACCGATGATTCGTAAAATTTTTCATGTTTTCTATTAATGTTTCATTATATTACTAATACTGACGACATATTATAAAGTTCAAGTTTACTTTTTAGACAAAAAGGCTATCATTATTTACTTTTAAAATAATTTAATCAATTAATTGCAAATATTTAAAGAATTACCAAGCATTCATAAATTCCTTTGATAAACCCTTCAATCACGCTATATTTTTTGAACTGTCATACAGTATGACACATTTCCATTTGTCAAACAGCGACGCGCCCCCATCTTAAGTAACTTTGTCATAACATGAACAGGAAATGAAAAATTGCTGTAATGATAAAGTTGTACTAAGAAAAATTATAAATCATTTAAAAATATTCATGCTTTCATGAATAATATACGGTTTTTCAATCAAATTCTGGCAGATATTGAATCTAATAAATGATTTTGAGCACAATCACAGTGATTTTAGTTATTATGAAATTTTTGATCAAATGTTCTTTCTTAGTCATTTGGCAATTTAACATCCAAAAACAGATGATACCTTAATTCGTATATTCGTATTAATAACATTTTATAGCAGAACGCTGTCACTGTCAAAAATTCGTCGATTATATGAAAACCGAATTTGACATTAATTTATAAATTTGCCTTAAATTAATTTCAACCTTTTTATGCTCTTGTAAGTGTTTTGTCTCTTTTGTTCTCTGTATTTCTTGACGATATTTAAAAATATTGTGATTTTTTTCTTTACATAGAATATCTGGTCACCCTTACATTTAGTGTGTTCATATGTCAACATTATTTACCTATACATTTATATAAAAATAAATGATCAATATGTGCTAAATGTTAACTATTTTTAAAATCACATAATATATAGAGATTTATTTTTAAAATTTAATTATAACTGGCTTATTATCAACAATTTTAACTATTTTAAAAATAAATTGTTGTGATAAAAAAAAAGATTTCAGATTTAAATATAAACTTTTAAGAGTGAATCATTTAGCAAATTACCGAAAGTTTAATAACAAAATCAGATAAAGAAAAAACTGTTTGTGTGCACGTATATATACAATGTGTACGTAAAATTAAACTTTTACCCTAAATTTTCTACGTCAACAAACTGTTAACATGTCAACATTAAAACAAAACACGACATTTTTTTGTGTTTTTCTGTTTTCTTCTTTTTTTTAAACATTGTTCGATACGATAATTATCGTAATAACGTTAAAAAATGATAAATTTACAACTGTCATAAGATTGTTAACATAGCTATATAAATGTCAATGTCAGTATGCGCTAGTGCAAAAATTATAATTTTGTACAAATATTATGTACGTGTGTTTATATGTACATATACAGATACTGTTATACAAATTACGTTTCATGTACGAGTATATGAGTACGTGTATAAATAAAAGCGAAAAATAAAGTAAAATGATAGTAACTTTTAATAGAAAAATAAATAATTAAAATGATGATAACAATTTTTATACACCTACAAACCACTTATCAGTTAAAATGTATTAAAATAGTATGTAAAATAGTATTAGAATTGAACTTGAAAAATGTTGAGAAATTTGAAGATATTATGAGAAGATTTGCATATTTCTTAATAAGATAGAATGTCCACTTATATTTTGGCTTGTTTCAACAGCTGATATTTTGTGACTTAATCTGATGTAATTATCATTTTCTTTTCTTAAATATTTCACTAAAAAATTTAAAAAATTCTTAAGTTTAATGTTTTCTTACAGTTATATTCATAAAATATGCATACGTCAAACTGTTCAATGACAATCGCGATTACTGTCTTTAAAGATATTTCAATTAAACATACATAATTTTATACAAATGAGCTTACGTCGTATTATGCTTATGATATCACTGTGTTCAATGTTGCCGTTTTATTGTTTTCAAATTTGAATTTCTATATTATTGATTATATTAACAAATCGACAGCTAGAAAAGTATAAAATATGTTGCGAAATCTGGTGGTTAGTTAGAACGCTTATCACAATCCGTGCTCTGATTTTGTAGTCATTTGATCTTCTTTATCTGTATGACGTCTTGGCCAGTCCCAGTTATAATCACGATCGAATGCACAAACCTACATCGTTCCTTTGATTTAAAAAAACAAATTTAAACTTTAAAATTTAAAACAACAAATTTAATGAGAAAACACTGTTATATTAAATTTAGCTATACGACTATGGACTGTAGTCTAGACATAAATTCACATAATTCACATACACAATACATTATGTACTTACATATCAATTATAATTAATATTGACATTTTTCAAAAAATTTTTGCGAACAAAAGTGTTATACACGTGTTTAAATATGTATTATTCAAGTACACTGAAATATTGAAGGTAACACTAATTTTTTATTTATAGAGGAAAAAACAAAAATTAGTTTA